TATATATATATATATATATATATATATATATGCATAAGTGTGTGTATATATGCATATGTGTGCATATATATAAAATGATTTGGGGTTTGTGACTTGGATATTGAATATTATAGTTCATCTTTATTTTTTATATTTTTTTCTGCCCTTTAAACATTTCTGGCTTTTATGGTGCTCATATTACTCTCTTCCTCTTTGAGAAAGAGACAGGCCTCAAACTCAGTATGTGAGGTTAGACAGATGACTCACTTGTTACACATGCTTGCTGCTCTTGTAAAAAGAGTTCGGCTCCCAATACCCATGTCAGACGGTTCACAACAACCTGCTAACAAAGCTCCAGGGGATCTGATACCCAATCTGGCCTCCTCGGGTACCGTCCCCCCTGCACATACTCAAACACATCTTTCATTATGTACCCAAGGATGCCTTGGAACTTCTGATTCCCTTGCCGCCGTTCTTGAGTGCCGAGAATACAGATGTGTGCCACCACGCCCAGGTTTCTGTGGTGCTGACGACTGAGCCCAGCACTTCACGTGCACCCGGCAAACAGTCTACCAACCGAGCCACATCCCCAGCCACCGTAGCCACGAATTTCTAGCGGAGTCCATAATTAAAAGGGGCTGCAGATGGTCAGTGTAGATTACTTCAGTCTGTAATTTTGCGTGTCATCTGGCTTCTTTTCCTGTCCCTCACATCCTACACCTAACAGCTGGCCATGCTACTTCCTCGCAGGAAGAAACGCTGTTTGATCCAGGTGTTTTGTGAGATAAAGCCTACCCGCCCCCCCAGAGAAAGAGGATGAGCAGCATGTGTTGGGAAGCCGCTCTTTAGGGTTTTTGGGTTTCGCGGTGTGTGCAGGAAGGTGGAAAGCAGCCTGTTCTTCTCACCTTGGGGTCAGAGGGCACAGGTTAAACTCTGTGCCTATCATTGGTGACCTAGGGTAAATTTCTTACTGTCTCCATATTTGGACTTCCTACCTACAGTAAAGGACACAGTAATAGTTGCTTTACAGGATAGTAAAATAACACGTTGGGTACTTGGGGTCAGTAGGTTAAATGATGAATTAGTGGTGCTTTACACTTGCGAAATTCTGAAACCTTTAACCAGCCTTAGACGGCCTCCCACTGGTGGGGTATTGCTATGGTTTGTGGTGATCCCCCAAAGTTCTAATTTTGGAAGTGTAATTTCCAACACAACTGTCAGAGGGAGGGGGCCCTTAGTATGGTAGCCCGCAAAGATTTCCTGGTGAGATCTGAGCTTGCTTTACCCAGCAGGGCTGCATTAGAGGATGGCTGGACCACGTGCATGGTCACCAGGTGATTGGGATGGTCTGCACTTGGCTGTGCTGGGGGGCGGTCTTTCGCCCCACCCCTTGGCATTTCCTTTTAAAGCCCTTTAGTAGAGCCAGAAGGGGCTGGTGAGTTTTGACTCAGGCCCTCCCGAGGCTATCCTGTGTTTCTAACTGTCTCTCTCCTCTATATTTCTGTCTATATACTTCTCACTTCTCCCTCCTCAAGAGTACCCTGGGGGAAAAAGAGGGAGCCGGTCTCCCTCAACTTGGTAACCAGTGATTGCCTCCTGAGGCTCCCGCCCTTCGTAAGTCATCGGTGAAGGTTCTTGTGCAGAACTGCTGTTTTGGCGTTTGGTTGTTGCTAACACAAGTTCAGCTCCTTCTTGCTCTTGTGTCTTCGTTTTTGTCCTTGGCGCCTTCCAGCATGACCTGCGGTAGCACGAAGGCTTGGACGTCGCAGCCGAATGCCTGCCGTCCCTACTTCCTAATCCATGACCCAGTCTCAGCTACTCTGTAACATTAATAAAACAGAAAGCACAGTGGAAACGTGCTTAGTACATCTCAGGCCCAGCAGATTTCTTGAATGAAATGACAAGCTGAGATGCGACCTGAGTGGGAGTCTTGACGGCAGTGACAAGGTGCTCTGGGGTAGAGTGAGAGAGCTGGGAGGGAGGAGGGAGATTTGAAGCCAACCTCGTCTCTCTTTTGTGACGATACTAAGCACCATGATATAGCAACCAACTTTATTTCCATAAGCTAACAGTCACTCAGAGAACCCCCCCACAACACTCAGAAAATAAACGCTGCACCTTTTTTTATACATACAAACAGTTATAAAATGTTTATTACGTAAGAGCTGTGTTTCATTTACAATATATTATATTGCTTCCATCCAATGAAAAGACTTCATACATTATATTCCTTATTTCGTTGTGTTTACAATATATTATATTGTCTCAATGCCACTAACACAGTGTAAATTTTTTGACTTTGTTCCCCCTCAAAACTAAACTGTCTAGAATAATAGTAAGGGTGAAATAATATTGTATGCACCTCAAGTCAGGGAGGGCAATTGAAATATTAGTTAGACAAATGTTCAGATATTTGACAATAAAATTTGAAATCCTGTAGCTTCAACACTATTAACTGCTTTATCTAAACCCTTGTGATTTATGTATCATACTCAGTTCAGCCTCTAGTCTTCCCCACCCTAATAGCACAAATGTGTTGGAATTTTGCAAATATCTGCCAACTACACACCAAAAAGACAAATTTTTAACCTGACCAACTGATGTAAGATCTGTTCCAAAGGACTGAAAGAGGAAAATCTATACCATCATGCTAGACATACTTAGAAAACCTAAAAGAAAGAGTAAATATCAGCCCAGTGATTTAAGACAAAGCTAATAAAATTCAGGCCAGTATTCTAAAGTGTAATGAACATCATTTGAACATTCGACACATGAAAGGTTAACAAAGGCTATGAACTTGGTGTAACGCGAACCGTTTCAGCTGGTGGAGTTCACCAGATGTAATTGGATTCAGGTGGATCCCGCCGCGCCTCGGCCTTTTTAAGTGAGGGCGTGCGCTGCTCCTGCCTGGCGCCTGCTGGCCTCGGGGCATGCATGAGGCTGGCTCCGTACCCTGCAAAATTATTCACAGCTTAGAAGAAAAGAAACTCCAAGAACAGGCCCTTCAGATTCTTCATTAACCATTCGAAGGAAACCATTTTTCCTTTTTTTTTAACCCTGAGTGAGACCGTAGTGACCACACAGGGCTCTCTGGATAACGGCGAGTGACAGGTTCGAGTCTCTGTTTACTAAAAACCCATTTTGACTTACTCCACTAGATCTGTTTTCCATTGGACTTGCCACTCACTATGTATTTTGGCTGTGTAGAAAGTCTCTCTCTCTCTCTCTCTCTCTCTCTCTCTCTCTCTCTCTCTCTCTCTCTCTCTTGTAAAGCAGCTTGACTTGGAACTCCTGATCATCTTTCCTCCATCTCCCGAGAGCTGGGGATGACAGATGCACCTCACCAGGCCAGGGTTATTCGGTGCTGGGACTCAAACCCAGGGCTTTGTGCGGGCTAGGCATGCACTCTACCGAGTGAACTTTGCTTAGTCCTACTGTTTAGATGACCGAATGATGGAAGGACTGGTCCCACACCGAGGTCTCCAGTGCTCCTGCTGAGGATTTGGTGACGGATTCTTTTCAATCCATTACCAAACCAGCCTCACTTAGGTTAAAGCAGTTCAGAATAACAGCTTACAGCCTTTATACAGACCCCTGGATGAAGTTTATCCCGCTCATACAACAGCTCATACCACACAGGCGTTCTATTGGAATTAGGACCTTGCTCTGTGTGGTCAAGAAGAGCTATGATTTGAGCTGACTCCTACTGGTAGGATTTGTAAGTTTTGCTCCAAGTGGTCATCCATCCATCTCCAACTCTGTTTATGAAATGTGAGTCTCCTTTCTTTCCATTTGCGAATTTCTGGAGGTGCTGGGGACACTGGCTAGTTTTTTTTTTTTTTTTCCTAAAATGGATCCAAGACAGCAATTATATCTTTAAAAAAAAAAAAATCTGTCTCCGTCTTCCCGTGCATCAGAGTCAATCAAATCCAACATTTCATATGTTCCTTGTGGTTTTTAAATGCAAGCATGCTGTTCAACAGCTATTGAGAACAGAGCCTCTTTGCTGAACGTGTTGCTTTGAATTGTCAGCATGTAGACTACCAGCTCTCGGAACGGTCAAAACACGAGCTAACAATGCCCTGGAATAAATCCCTCCCGTGCTGCCTGCCTGGCTTGCCACCCATGAAGCCCAACCTCCCTGCTAGGGTGGGAGAGCCCCAAGCAGACACAGAGTTGGTCTGTCTCCAGGACCCTCCTCCCCTCCATGATGCCTGGGTGCCTAGGACCTCCCAATGTGCCACCCCACTGGGAATCCGCTCTTTACCGGAACTCTGTGACTCAGAGCTTCCCCGTTACCTCCCTCTAGTCAAAATAAACGCCATCCTTTCAGCTCGATTCTCCTCGGTGGATGTACATAAGAGCCGGGAGGCTGCTCCAGAGCGGGTTTGCCATTGACACACCAGGGCACCTCGCTCTGGTGCGGCGCCTCGCTCTGAAAGGGATGCTGAGGGCGGATGAACCAGTGTGGTCTCCGCTTGGAGTGCCACGTGGTGGTCTCCTCATAGCTCTGTGACAGGAAGGCTCCTAACGGGCTTTCATTTTGGGATGGGCGACAGTACCTTTGTACCCAGCTCACTGGGCATGCTCACTGGGTTGCATGCGCCGCCCTCTGAAGACTGATCTAGAAAAATACTGGATTTGAAAGCGACGTATTCAGATTCGTAGCTTGTTACTCTGGAGGTGCAGCAGGATTGAGATAATTGGTTGTAGAAGTGTTTCAAGGCCGAACCTCCTTTTCCTTAAAGCAAGGCAGGCAGTGGTGGATGCGCGCACAGGAGACTGATCTGGGTGCCAGATGGACTGAAATGCTGCCATTTTGTTGTTTGTTGATTGGCCCGCCCCCCATCCTGGACCCTGTTCCCCACAAGGTCTTTTCCTTCTGTTTGTTCACAGAGTCCCAATGCCTGGATTCCTGCTTAGCACAGAGGAGGGCCAGCAGTCGGTGCTGAATGGTGGATTTATCAAGCATCATTTCATGTATAAAATAGTCCTATGGTTTATCTACACAATATACATTAGAATGTTTTCCCAGGGAGGGCTTCTGTGGGTCTGTCCTTTCCTCCAAGATAACTCATCTAAACATTATATCGAATGCCACCAAAAGATCTCAAAAAATAAAACGTGTTCCGTATGATATATAAATTGATAAAGCTTGATTTCTGAAACCAGAGGGCAATAGGTACTGATGTTCATTTAATATCTTGAGGGTAGACTGTAGCTTAGAGCCCAGCACACTTGCCTAGCGAGGCTCATGGTGGGGTTGGATCCCCAGGACTACAGTTAAAGGAAGAAAAGGAAGGAAAAAAGGAAGAAGGGAAGGAGAGAAGAACTATAGTTAATCAGTTTCTTCCCTCAATACAACAAATTACTGAACCAGCCTGAATTATTAATTCGACAGGAGAATATTTGTGATGTTTTGCAGATCTGGTGGCATTTTTCATGCCTTCTTCCATTCTATAGCTGGTTTTGAAGTTGAAAGAGGAGATGGGCAGGGGGCAGAGAAATGGTCGCTAATGACAGAGCAGGTAGGGCTGAGGTACAGGTCATCCGAAGAGCCCGCTCCCTAGATGGCCTCTACTCACTTTTATTACAGTGTCTCCCGTGCCAGCCTTCTCGACATTGGCATTTGTTGGGTTCGTGGCAGGTCCCGTGAGCGCCGCAGCCAGGCTCGCAGACCGCTGGAACCAGAGCAGAGCAACGCTATTGCTTCCTTGATTTCCCTGTTTCTGTCTTTTAAACACAGCTATGCGGTTACTTTTCCTTTAGTTCTTTAGAATGTGTTAGTTTTGGCTTCAGTTATTGGGTGTTTTTTTTTTTTTTTTTTTTTGTCTGTTTGGTTGTTTTTTTTTTTTTTTTTTTGTCTAAGTCACTTTCCAGCCAGAAGTAAGCTTCAAAGTTGGAAAAAAAAAATATCCTTAGGACTGATCTTTCTACTAAGCATCCTGTTTCTCATACACAAAGACTCTCAGTGAGAGTTTTGAAACTACTGGATGGTGGGAGATTATTCCTTTCAAGAAATCCCTAATAGATGAAACAAACAAAATTAAAAAAAAGAAAGAAAGAAAGAAAGATTTCAGCTTGGGCATAAGTATTTTATATGCAGGCCCCCCCCACCTGTGGTCTAATTAAAGGAAGCATATACATGGGGAGGGGGGAGTCAACCCTGATGTCCAGACAACACGCAGCAGGTTGGACGTTGTATCCAGAGAAAACATTAAATGCGCTTGCCCTGCACCCATACCGCCACCGTGTACGGTACTTACGCTTAGAACAGAGGTCTCCTTGGTAACCCTTGGGACACTTACATTTGCTTTTACCAATGCATTTACCTCCATTTCGGCAGGGTTGTGGGCATTTGCCTGCAGTAGAGAGGCAATTAGTTAAGTAAGGAAGGACTTTGTTCAACAGTAATTACATCTTTCAAAGGAGTTAACAAGGCTTTGAGAGGAGACATGCTTTGAAATGGCAGTCATTTCCATCCATTTTAGGTCTCTTCTGGCTTTTATATTGTTTTTGTTTTGGAGACAAGCTAATATGTTGATATGATTATCTGTATTATATTATATATTATATGAGTTATATTATATCATATTGTGCTTTGTATAATGCCCTTTTTCCATAAATGCATAATATGCTGCCAAATGCACAAAACATAGGAAATGCAAACTAACCCAGCTCCTGCATGCTTGTTGTTTCATACACACTGTTCTGGAGCCTCATACATGACTGACTCACTACATGAGCTTTTCTACACCTCCTGGTTTTTGCATACCCCTTTTTTTTTCTGGAAGTAAGTCTGTCTATACCCACACCTGATAACAGCTTGAGCCTGGCATCGTCTTTCAGAAAGCAAGTCTGCATTTCGGTAGCTTAACCGGGAGACGGGGACCTTGGAGACAGGAACGGGGGCATGAACAGAGTGCAGCGGAGAAGGAAGGAAAGGACGACACGAAGCGTGCTTGTGGGTCAGTCACCACGATGGGCAGCTGGACCCTGTCCTGCTGGTCCGTCCCGCCCAAGGATTAAATCAGAAGCACATGAGAGTTGGCTGGAAAGAACAGAGGGGAGCGTTTGTTTAGTGGCATCTGATGCCCGCTGGTTTATTGTCCTTTGGAGAGGACATCTTCTCACTGCCATGGTGGAACAGCAGCATGTAATGCAGAAGGACCCAGAGAAGCGTCTGGGTGGGAGGAACATGGGTGGAACAGGTCAGATGAGGGGACAGTTTGCTATAGAAAAGGGTGGAGTGAAGGGCTGGTCCCTGTTGCCATAACAACCAATTTTTCTGGACTGTCTGAGAGCCTAAGGATATACCCTTCTCCCTGTTAACTCTGCATCGAATGAATATTGCTAATGTTTTCACAGAGCTTTGAACCCTAGAATTGTAGAACCGGAACAGGACCAGAAATGCAAGAACTATGCAATAGTGTTCTCCTTTCTTATGCTACAAGTGTTTATTTTCCTCTACGATCCAGAATTTTCTATTTAAAGGACAACTTCTTAGAAGGAACTGATAAGGGGCTGTTAACCCAAAGCTGAAACCACATCCTGCTGAGTGCATGATGGTGTCCCAAAGACAGCCAGCGGCCACGAGACTTCAGTAGTGACCCAGTTTGGGCTTTTGTTCTTGTCCTTTTATTTTATTTTATTTTATTTTATTTTATTTTATTTTATTTTATTTTATTTTACTAGTAAAATCATTAGCATTAACAAACACCTTTCACTCACTGATTTTTTTAATGACCAAAGAAAGCTTGAAACAAAACAAACTATAACGCTCTTTACTAATAAGCACTGTTTTTAACAAAAGAATTGAATTCCATGTGAAAATTGTTTTGCTGCAAACGCTTTAGTTTTTACTTTTTACTTACCCCCAAAGAACTTTATTTGTTTACAAATTGGACAAAGCCACATTTAGTCATGAAGACAGTCTACACACAACAGTGTTGGAAGGCTAAGGGCTCTACAATAGACTAGAATTCGGTCCCCCCCCCCCCTAAAGTCCACCCCTCTCTTTCTTGAGACAGAGTCTCATGTTGCCTGGCTGGTCTCCAATTCAATTCACTATGTAGCTGAGGATGGCCTTGAACTTCTTTTTGATCCTTTGACCCCCATATTCCCAGTGCTGGCTCAAAGGCGTGCACCATCTTAGACAGTTTTATTCAGTACTGGGGAGCAAACACAGGGCTTGTGCATGTTACACAAGCACTCTTGTCCCAAGGAAGCTACATTCTCAGTCGCAAAGACGACCTTTCATTCCCAGTCTCAAAGACCACCTGTTTATTGACCACTAAAAGTCCCCAAAGAGTCCTGTTTTTCTGAAGAACACCATTTGCAGGAAAGACTCTAACTCCAAACTTCCAAAGAAGCATGTGACCCCAGCACAGCTGGATCAAGACCGCTCCATGTGGGATGATCATTACTCAGTGGAAGAGATACACTGCTCCTCCATGTGAAGAGCTGGTGAGCTCTGTGCTCCGGGGGGTGGGGGTGGGGATGAACTTGGTGATGGGGAACATTGCAGTCTAACTGGTAGAGAGTTCTCCCCCTCATTCTATCGGTCCCGTCACGTTCTTGGTCAGAGAGAAATGAAGACTCTTAGGTTCATCTCAGCTGGGAGGGAGAGTAGGAAGACCACAGGGGGAGGACAGGAAGGTCTCTCCAGGTTCTTACCCAGCAGAATGAGTTTGCAGGGTGCTGTTAGGCCACAGTGAGTTCAATGACCATAGTATCAGATAGCACCATCTGACTGTTTTAGTATTCAGAATACCCAAAGTGTTTTAATACTGACTTCTTTTGCCTGAGAATACTTTGCCGCCACGTTAAATTGATTGGAAACAACAGGTCTACTGAGACCCCAAGGAGTCAAGCTATTTGTACAGGTGACGTGTTACCTGAGGAAGATTTCACTAAGTTTAAGCAGTGTTTTAGTGTAACCCATGGAGGAGTCCTTGTGAGAACAATGGCAGACCATAAGGCATCTACCACGGAGTGAAGACACCCAGCGTCCTCCACCTGTGAGACCGTGGGATCACTTCATGCCATAACTCTATTTCACAGACAACAAGAGGAAAGCGCTGTACAGAGGTGTTCAAGGGCTGACTGACACCCACCATGTGTGGGCCTCGGAATGTTGAGTGGTTTTTTGATTATTTTCTCCGACAGTCTAACTTTCTTTTCCTGTGCGGGAACAATTCAAATGTTCCTCGACTGATAAATGAATAAACAAGTGAACTCTACCCACACAGCTGGATGTTACTCAGCAATAGAAAGGAGTGATGGACTGGCATTCTGCACCATGTGCAGTCCTCGAAAACAATGGCCTTGAAGAAAAGAAGCTGGGCACAAAACGCTAACTCTTGTATGACTCCATTTATATGAGGTGTTTAGAATGGACAAAGCTAGAGAGAAAGAGGGTAGATTGATAGTTGTCAGGTTGTAGGATTATGAGGGGACTTGGGAGACATTTCTAATAAACATAGGTATAAACTGTTATTTAGGGTGGTCATAATTTGTTCTGAAGCATATTGAGGGGACAGCATAACTTGTGGATGTGCAGGATGATACATGTAAAATGCCGAACCTTATGGTATGTGAATTAGACATTCACTTAAAAAAAAAAAAGAGGGGCCTGGAGAGATGGCTCAGAGGTTAAGAGCACTGACTGCTCTTCCAGAGATCCTGAGTTCAATTCCCAGCACCCACATGGTGGCTCACAACCATCTGTAATGAGATCTGGCACCCTCTTCTGTGTACATAATAAATAGACAAATCTTAAAAAAAAAAAAAAAGAACAAATGGTTCAACTCTGCCTTTTGTCTGTGCACTCAGAGAAATTTCAACTCCAGACCTATGTCTGCTCCCCCCACCCACCCACCCACCCACCCACTTTCTGGTAGTGTTCTCTTTCACAGAAAACAGGAAGTTTTCTAAAGGAATTGGAATAAAACTTGTGGCTGGATCTGTGATGAGTTTCAAAACCCTACATTTTTGGTCCAGTTAGAATTAAAACAAACAAACAAACAAAACAGAGAAAGTGGGGGGAGGAAAGCAAGAAAGGCAGGGAGGGAGGGAGAGAGAGAGAGAGAGAGAGAGAGAGAGAGAGAGAGAGAGAGAGAGAGAGAGACTTTGCCAGAGGAAAGTTCATAAACACAAGGCATGAAAAGGCATCCTTACATGAAATGAACCCACGAACAAAGACTCGTAAACAAAGTATGCAATGTCTGGGGCTGAGCACAGGGAGAAAATTGAGGGGGTTAGCTCAAGATGTCTTTATCAGGAAAGAGTAATTAATAAGAACAGAAACCACATCCTGACAATTAATTACATGTTCTATGGAAACTTCAGAGCTAGTCCATTTGAACTCTATAAAAAACGGTTACTTCATCGACTACTCATTAAAGTACAAAAACCCACAAATAAATTAGAGGTTGAAAGTTAAAATAGGAACTTAGCATTATTCAATTTGGAATCTACCTCAGCTTTGGGAACAGTGACGGCACCAAGCACAGTGGGGCTTTAGAGACGGACAGCTGAGAAGGACTGCCCTCGACACACACCTCCAAAAGGCAGAAGGGACCCCTCGAAGGCACACCTGACGGCTTGGGCGCCTGCCTGGACAGGTGCCTCCATGCTGGCTGTCTTCCGGGCCATAGTGCAGCTTAGACTGAACGGGCTCATTGCTGAGTTTCAAAGAGAGATCTGGGTGACAGGCAGCTGGTAGGTGGCGGGGCTGGGGCCACTCTTCAAGTATTGACGCATGATAGACCACTCAGTGTGGGCAGAGCGGGTGTCTGTTTTAAGTTCACAGCTCAGCTATTTTTTTTTTTTTTAAATCTGAACACTCACATAACACTGCTGTAGAAGACACAGGGATTCCCAGCACCCCATAAAGTTCCTCTTGGCCCCCCAACAGCAACTCCAGTTTCATCCATTTGTGTTTGCCTCTTGAACTCGAAGACCCCTTTAGTGCGTCTGCCTCCTTTTATATAATATATCCCTGGGAGTCCCTTAGGTGGCTGTGGTGGTGTTTTAATTACTGTACACTGTTTACGTCCTCTTCTATCCTTTTCTCTTAGATGGGTCACTCTGTTCTAGAATATTAGTAATGATTCGTGGAAGAAAACCCTCTGTGCTTGCGGGGTATACGCTGTCTTTCTTAGCCTTACTTTTAAACAAAGGGAGTGGTAGAGGAATCTAGGAAAACCACTGGCCTAAGGTTTCACACAAGGTCTCCATCCTTTCTAGGCTTCAGATTTCTCAGTGGCAAAAGGAAGCATGAGACAGTCTTTCAGGTCCCTTGCCCCCAAGCCCGGAAGAATGCTGAGGTCCGTACTCACTCATTTCACACTGCTCTCCCTGGAGTCCTGGAGGGCAAATGCATTTGCCGGGGTAAAAGCAGGTGCCGCCATTAAAGCAGGTAGTTGAGCAGTTCGCTGTTGGAATGAACGACAGGAGGCGTCATTAGACAGGAAGCTAAACCTAGCAAGGATTTCACGTAGAGTGAGTGCTATTTCTCCAGTCTAACGCAGTCTCATCTACATAATAAACAAACCACTTTACAGCTAAGAGAAAAGTTATAACCAAACACCCCATTATTTGACATAACCGATTCAAACTAGAATTACAGTCAAGTCACAAAAACTCCGTTTCAGAATATAAGAGAGAATAGGGTATCACACATTGTATTCATTCCTAATGAAAAAAGGTATAATAGGTGTGAAATAAAAGTCTTTTTGAATAAAAATGTATGTGCTAAAAAGAAGAATCTGCAAATCCAAGGTGGTACTTTTTGAAAGCATCAAGTCTGGAAGAAAAAGGGAGAAAACTTATTGGGGTTAGATAAAGGGAAGAGTTGGTGTCAAAAGTGTCAGGGTCCTACCAGGAGGAAGCGACTCTCAGGCGAACAGAGGTTCGTTTTAACGAACGGGATTTAAAAAGGGGGATTTAAAAAGGGACTGTCATGGCAGTTGGAGAAAGACTCCAGTAATTGCACTCAGAGAGACAGGCTGTGGACCCTGTGAGTTCTCAGGGACGGGGAGGAGCCATGACTGAGCCCGAGAGGTGACGTGGGGGGGTTCGACACAGCGAAAATCCAATTACCCTCCTCGGGGGATAAACGTGCCGTAACCCATCCCGAGTCCCTCCCTCTTGGTGCCAGCGTCTTGAATTTCACTGATCTTTGGCAATTAAAGTGGAGAATAGAGAAATGGGAATAGGAAGGAGGAAATACTGGACAGGAAGCAGCTTGGCTCCTTCAGTAAGGAAGATTAAAATGAGAGTTTGGGCCTGGGGTAGAAGCACACGTTTGCAGTCCCAGAATCCAGGGAAGCAGAGACAAGGGGAAGTCACTGTCTTTTCTGGCTACACAGTGAGTTTGGGGCCAGCCTGGGGTATGTGGCTATCTGAGACCCTGCCTCAAAACAAACAAACAAACAAACAAACAAACCAAAGAAACAAAAGCAAAGTCAAAACCTAAAGATGAGAGCTTAAATAAATTTCAGTCATGTGTCCTGGTTTTGTTCTTGAGTCATGTAAAACAGATGACTAAAGACTTCCAGTGTGAAAGTCAGAAAATTTAAAGTGTGTGCGCTTTGGGGAAGACAAGTTCGATTAGAACGCTCTGCGAACCCCGGGCTTCTTAAATGCATTAAGGGGCATTCGAAAATCACAAACGCTTCCCAGCTGAAGACAACAGTGCATTGAGCATCTTGATGCAGAAATGAACACACAGTCCCATTCTGGGACAGGATTTAGAGTGTAGGAAATCCAGCCCTGTAGGCCCTCTCTTTGCTGCTTGGAGAGAGTGTTGTTAGGGCTGAGCAGTTGTTTTTATGTGTGAGTCCTGTCATCGTCCCGTCCCCCGTCCCCCGTCCCAGAATAGGATTGGGGTGAGAGAACATTAAGATCAATGTTCACTTGGCCCATGCCCCTCCCTGTAGGCAGAAGTCTCTACCCCACCAGCAATTCCCAGATACCCAGCAGCTGCTTCCAAAATTACCACACAGAGGCTTATATTAATTGGCCAGTAGCTCAGGCTTATTACTGACTAGCTCTTACACTGAAATTAACCCATAATTCTTATCTATGTTTAGCCATGTGGCTTGGTACCTTTTCTCAATATGACATTCTTATCTTGCTTCCTCTGTGGCTGGCTGGTGACTCCTGACTCTGCCCTTCCTCTTCCCAGCATTCTTAGTTTGGTTGCTCCACACATACTTCCTGTTTGGCTACTGGGCATTCAGCATTTTATTAAACCAATTTGAGTGACAAATCTTTACAGTGTACAAGAGGGTTATTCCACAGCATCTCCCCTCTCCCCCACCACCCTGCTGTTCACTGATTTGTGAAGGGCAATGGACCTGACAGCACACTTGAAATAGAACTTGTTAAATTTGGCTATATTATAATTTGATTGCCCACCCCCTATGCCCCTTCTTCTTGAGTTAACATACAGCTGTGTAGCCCTTGCTGGTTTTTAATTCATGACTCTCCTGTCTCAGCCACCAGAATGTGGAATTACATGCACTGATCCCACATCTGTCCTGGCTAGATTTATGTCAACTTGACACAAGCTAGTCATCTGAAAGGAGGCTGCCTCAGTTGAGAAAATATCTCCATGAGATCCAGCTGGAAGGCATTTTCTTCATTAGTGATTAATAGAGGAGGGCCCAGCCCATTGTAGGTGGGGCCATCCCTGGGCTGATGTTCCTGGGTTCTATAGGAAAATAGGCTGAGGAAGCCATGAGGAGCAGGTCAGTAGGCAGTACCCCTCCATGGCCTCTGCATCAGCTCCTGCCTCCAGTTTCCTTCCCTGCTTGAGTTCCTGGCCCGACTTCCTCCGACGATGACATGGCAATGGAAGTGTAAGCCAGTGTTTTTTGGTCATGGTGTTTCAGCACAGCCACAGTAACCCTGACTAGGACAACACTCGAGTAATTTGTCCTTATTCTTGGGACTTTCAAACTGCTTTTGCCATCCTGGCCAAGGTTGTCAGCATTTCTGTCCTGGTTTGGCTAATGGTTCGTGTGCTCTAAGCTTGGTCACCAGAGCACGGTGTGGAGAAGAGGTGGGACCATTCAGAAGTGGGATCTGATGGAACGTGGTTAGCTCACTGGGACCGTCCACCTCAGGAGTTCTTACAGAGCTGCCCAGCTCTCGAAGGCCTCTGGATGTGTCTTGCCGTGAAATCTCTCCTTCTAGCAGCTACTCCCACCATGATGCTGACTTCCATGTTGTGGTGTAGCCTGAGGCCCTCACCAGAGCCAGACAGATGGTCGCACTGAAACTCCAGGACTGTGAGCTTAACTGGCCTCACTTTTTTTTTTTTTTTTTTTTTTGTAAACCCTGAGTCGAAGGCATTTTGTTATCGCAACAGAAAGCAAACTAACACAAATTTGGTTTTGCCATGAACCAGAGAGGCTAACTCGATGTCACTGTGGCTGAGGGTAGATTGGCCAGGGCTTAACTAGTCATTTCCTAAAGTTTGTGGCAGATGTCCCCATGTGGCCGATGGACGTGATTCTTTAAAGTTTGTTCCAAAATATAGTGCTAAAGTCTAGCTCCGTGCCAGTAATTAAACCATTTTTCAGCAGCTCCATTTTCCTTCGTGGATAATAAAAGAATCTTTTGTTGAGCCAGTAAAAAAATAATATGTTTTATGTTCCCAGGTCTCCAGAGAGACCAAATGAAGTTTCAGCAGATTTTTCCAAATGAGTTTTTAAAAAATTACTAGAGTATAACATGGAGGAAAATCTTTCCTCTGAAAGACAGAATATTATGGAATATAAAATGTACTGGATTACAAATGTATATTTTTCCTTCATAACACTGAAGTATTTGTGACACTGTAGCGCATATATATATATATATATATATATATATATATATATATATATATATATATATATCTCACAATAGCCAGGGCAGTGGTGTGTGCCTGCCATTTCAGCCACTTTGGAGACAGGAGGATCTCTTGAGTCCAGGAGTTTTATGCAGTATCACACTATGCCTGTCAGCTGTCTGTATTAAACTGAGCATCAATATGGTGACCTCTTGGGAGCAGGGACCCACCAGGTTGCATAAGGAGGGCTGAACCAGCCCAGGTTGGATAGCAGTCCTCAGTAGATCTTTCATCGAATAAGCCTGGGCAATAATGGCCACAGCTGGACAGACAGGTGTCAATAATCATGTCATTGACCCTGGCTGTGTATCAGTTCAATTCTCTGAAGGTTTGCTTTATTTCCAATAGTCTGTTGTAGCCTGAGTTTTACTCCATTCCAAGAAATGCCTGGCTTTGTAATGGTAGAGATACCAAATGCTAAATCTGAACAAATGAAGATGCACTCTTGAGTAACTTTACTGACTTGCTGTTAAAAATGACTGCAGCCCCTAGGTTGTAGTCTTTAGGAATATGTATTTAAAATATTTTTAATCCAATGCTGTGGTTTCACAATAAAAAAAGATGCAAATGCTTTCAGATAGTATCTCATTCTGGGGATGGAAGACAGGAGGCAAAGAGGGAAAACCCATGACCCAACTTATCTGTTCAAGTCTCAGGTCACTTGGGAGCGAGGACCTGATTAGACAGTGAACAACAACGGGGTACAGTGGAGGGAATCCGTACCCCCAAGTATTGGTCAAGTGATTTAAGTTATATACACCTCAGTACGCTTTTCTGGGAGTGAAATGTTTAATGCTTTCCTGTCTCAAGGGTTGTCAAGAGTCTAATCAGATAATCATATGGAAGTGCTTTGTATAGCCCAAGACAACAAGACATGCCAATCACTCCTCTAGTCATGCCAAGGACTCTTTCCCTAAAACTGTGCGCACACACACAAAAAAGCAAACCAACCAACTGAACAGAAATCTGTGCTGCAGTATGAATCCATGCTGAATGACTGACCCCTAGAGACACCACTTAAAAACAGTATTTGTTACCTATTTAAGGCATATTTTATTAATAAAAAAATCAATATTCTGTGGCAAATAGCATTATGGATATTAGGATACCTTCGTTCAATCCACATACTTTACAGAGTATTTAAAAAGGTTTTTCCAACTGAAAAGTTGTGGACCGGCTAAGTAGGCAGGTCGTTTTTTCAGGGCCAAGTTTGAATCCACTCCCTGTGAGTGAAATCTGACGCATTGCTGCTGTGTTTAGAGGGAGGCGCCCGACCTCCTGTAAATAGAGTATTCAGTGAGCCCTGCACAGGGTCATAGACGTTGGGACTTTAGGTCGGCTTCACTGCTGTTTTAACATAAAGGATCTAGGAAGGGGATGGTTTCTGCGTGGCGGCAACCTTCGCAGCAAATATTAACTGTGCTGGAGTCTTGCTTCTCAGCTGATGAGAGGTCCTGGTCCCCGTTTAGATTTTTCCTGTCTTTTCTACCCTGTGGGGACCACAGATGGATGTTGCTTAAGTCACTGACCTGTATATTCCTGCACTGGAGCACTCTGGGAGTGAAAATAAACTTCTTCTGCTGGGTTAAGCAATACTCAAACTGGGGTTCCAGGTATATAGCAGTCGTCTTTACCCCACATGGCACACGGTGTTTACAAGGTGATGACATCATCTTTACCCCACACAGTGTACGGTGTTTACAGAGTGATGATGTTAAGAATGTGTATTTGGGAGGTTGGAGAGAGGGCTGAGTGGTCAAGAACACTGTTCTTCCAGAGGACAGGGTTTGCTTCCAACCACCCACATGGAGGCTTACGACCACTTGTAACTCCAGCTTTGGGGGGTCCCATTGCCCTCTTCTGGCCTCCACATGAAATGTGCAAACACACACGCATGCACGCACACACAAATCTTGAAACAATAATAATAATAATAATAATAATAAAATCCTGTTACCTTTATCGCAGTTGACGCCATAGAATCCAGGCGGGCAGATACAAAACCCAGGGGTGACACAGAGTCCGCCGTTCATACATCGAGGTACGCAGAGAGCTTACAGGAGAGAGAGAGGGCTCTGATTAAGGCCAAGCCGGACTCTGCAGCAGCATCACTTTGCAGTGTCAATGATTCCACCACTTACAACTCTGAGGTGGAGTCTGAAATGTTTACTCTTTAGATAGACAATTTTGCTATATATTAATTCAACTATTTTTCAACTTCTCAGCCAATTTCCTAGGCAAGAATTTTGACTTTGTTCTACTTAGAATGCCCGATTAAATCTTTCTCAGAATCAGGCCAGCCATGGTGGCGCACGCCTTTAATCCCAGCACTCAGGGTATTTTTCATAAGAGTATCACAAAGTACACTGTAAATATAGGCCGGCTGGAGGCTTGATCACGAAGTACAGAGGCCCTAGATCAAAGTTCTCTGGCCAAAGTTCTGGCCACACACTGCCTTAACAGAAACCAACCCATGGAAGTACGACTTTCCAACAGGTCTTCTGTGGCTATTTAAAGTTTCACCGATCCTTAAAACATTATCAAATAATAATAGTAAGTTCAAGAGATGTGTCACAGACAACAAAAGACCCCCGTGGGGGCGTCTGTGGCTTCCATGTTCACTGGGAAGCAAGCCAGGCTGGCCAACTCCCTCGCTCACCTTTCTCACAGTGAGGCCCGTAGAACCCATCAGGACACTCACAGACCCGCCTTTCGTTACAGAAGCCTCCATTTCGACACCCTCCGGGACACTCGGCTGCACCAAAGAGAAACAAGGCCGGCGTGAGACATGGACAGTCATTTATATTATTGACTGAAGACCACAGTCTTTAACCTTTCCCACCACATCCCTCGGTTCTCACACAGTTCTTCCTGCAGTTTTATTTACAACAGTGGACCATGCCTGAGGGGAGGAAAGTAACTTTTACTTTTCCCCTCCTCCGAAAGTATGCTTAAGTCTTTAAAGTCACACCAGAAGAGGGAGGGGCATTGCCTTTAATATTCACGGCCAGAGGCCAGGCGGTGGTGGTGGTGGTGGTGGTGGTGGTGGTGGTGGTGGTGGTGCACACCTTTAATCCCAGCACTCAGGAGGCAGAGTCAGGCGGATCTCTGTGAGTTCGAGGCCAGCCTGGGCTACAGAGTGAGATCTAGGACGGACTCCAAAACTACATGGAGAAACCCTGTCTCAAAAAAACAAAACAAAACAACAACAAAATTCACTGCCAGAGAGCAAATGGCTTTTCTGTATATGTTTAGAGCATTGACAGATTTCATAGTTAAAACTTGGTGCTGGCAGGGGGAAGAAGCTGTGCCCTTGTGGTTAGTGGGCACCCAGGGCATAGCAGTGAGGTGCTGAGACCCGCCTGATAGGGTCATTGTGTGATCACAACTTCTTGTCTTCTGTGGTTATGAACTGTGCCAAGCATTTGGCAGGGGCATGGGTAGTGTGGCTTTCGACCAGGAGAAATGTTAGTAATGGTTGACACCTGCAATGAGGAACTGGAACAAGAAAGGTGATGTCTGTGGCTGTGGGTGACATACACTTGGGGACTCCTAAATGTTATGTCAGAAAAGGGGGAAGAAGAGCCCGTGTTCGAAGGCACACTGGAGTCCCTACGTGGTTCGAAGCCTGAGAAAATCGGAGTCCTTGTTAATGGGCCCTGTGTTTACTCCCCCTTCCCTACAAAGTATACATACAAAGAAAAGAACAAAACAAGACCGAGACTCCCCACCACCAAAGCCTTCTCTTGAGTGCCTGTCCCAGCTCACCTTGCTGACAAGTCTTAAAGAAGATGGCATTTTGAGGGGTCTGAAGGATGGTGTTGCCTTCAGAGTTCATGACGATCACATTCACCTCAAATGCGGCCACGCCGTCCTGTTTGCCGAGACACGGGAAGCCAACTTGAACAACTATGGGGAAAAGAAAGTCCATGAAATCAACCTAACCAATTGATCCTGGTGCTACAGAAATTGCAGGCGGACCAAGAAGCAGCAAAAAGGGTCACATTTTTTGTGTGTGTGTGTGTGTGATTTTTGTGTATTTCTCCTGGAGCTGAGATGGCATTTTTATTACCCGGACAGTCTCTGTGGAACGTATGCATCGTACTAGGTGCTAAAAGAATGAATGATTCTTGGTAATTTGTGTTCAGCTAATGCAGAACTGGGCATATTTTGTTGATAAACCCCCTTTTTTTTTTTGAGACAGGTTCTTGGCTTGTATATCTTTGGCTTAATCTTAGCTTGTATGTTCGCTTTAAGATTTTATTTTAATTTCTGTATATGTGTGTGTGCATGTGTGTATATGGGCCCATGTGCAGGCGGGTGGAGGCCAGAAGAGCATGTCAGATCCCAAGAGCTGGAGTTTACAGGCAGTTGTGAGCCACCTAATATAGGAAGCAAACTTGGGTCCTCTTTAAGAGCAGTAACTGCTCTTAACCACTCAGCCATCTCTCCAGCGCCATACCTTAAAAAGATGTGTGGGTTTTTTTAATTTCTTATTTTTTGGTCTGCAAATTAAAGATGCAAAAAGGAAGCATAACTATATTAATCATCACGAGACATTTATAGGTATGTTTACCCTGGTTTAGCCAAAGAGCCAGAAAAAAAAAAAAGGTATCATATAATATCCATTTAGTAAGCCCTTGGAATAATAGCCCACTAGTTTATGTTTTATTTCCCTGGTTTGAAAGCAGCAAAACAAATTCTTTGATGATATTCTGCAACTTCGCCTGGACGCCAGCGGTGACTGAGTTAACCAGGTTGCTGTTTTCTCAAGGTACCTGCTGACATAACCGAGTGTTTGGTGGGCTGAGCTAATGTGGCGGGTAGGCTAGACCTCACGATTCAGCTTCCTGTGAATGTAGAGCCACTTCCTGTGCGTCTGTGGGGTGCTTGGCATGTCCAGGTATTGACAACAAAGCTACAAGGCATGACGTGGACACTCAAGTGTTTCTGCGCAAAGAGGATGAGGAGGCCACCAATTCTCTAATGCAGGTCACTCGCTGGAATGGGCTAACCAGACATTGGCTGCTGGATGAGAGAATGATTATGGAACTTTCCAGAATATACTGGATTATCATGCCACCCACTGAGAAAGACTGGTCTAGCTGACAATTAGACACCAGTTTTTCCTTAAATAAATAAATAAAAAATACTGCCAGTAAGTGTACGGAGAGCTCTTGCGTGGTGGGTATAGCCACCAAGCACGAGCTTATATTAAAGCGGGACAAACCTTTTCCCTTTAAAGTGTGACTACACCTTCCTCCTAGGGTTAGAAGTTGAAAAGAGCTGGGAATTGCTCCCCTCAGTACCCAAGCTGGCCGTACTGTCTTCTTAATGTGTTTGCAGAACAAAAGTTCCCTTGCAGGCCCTGACCTTGCCAGGAGATAGCAGAAATAGACTCGCGTCCTCAGGCAATGATAAGCCGCTTTTACCAAAGGCTAAGTGAAAACAAGTCCAGATGTTGTGAATTCCAGTGCAGTCTGTGCTGCATAAGCTAAACCGGGGTGAACGAAAACAGTTTCAGAACACTAAAACGGATTAACTCACATGGCATTCAAGTACACATCCGCACACAATAGATTGCATATAAACAACTCTCAGGGAGAAGTAAGCGAAAACCGATTCTAACTGAACACCCCTTCCACACGCAGATGGATGTGGTTTTTAAGCCCCCAGAGCAGCCTCTCATGGGACCCACTTCCCTCACAAGAAGTTGAGAGACGGCAGGAACTCAATCTCAAACGTCACAGAATTCTAAACTGTCCCCTGATTAGATGATTTACTCAGTCGGTAAAGTAGTGCCTTGTAAGTATGGAGGCTGGAGTTGGAGCCTCAGGACCCAAAAATTCTGGGTGTGCACAAGCGGTGGACGTCTAGAAAATTATTAGTGGACTAGAGTACCTAGCACTAAGTGGGGCACCCATCCACTCAAGTGCCCTGGGAAGAGGGGGCAGGAAGGTCTCAGACATGGTGGGCGACTACGAGGAACTTGTTTTCTGGACACAGCGCGGCGGTTGCACATGCCAACTTGCAGCCTGTGAGAGCATGCGCCAAGGCCTGTGCAAGCTCATGCCAGTCAAAATGTCCAGGGTTGAGGCAGGAGGTGGGCACAGAGTCCCATTCCCCCGCTGAGGACTTATTGGCAACTGATAACTTTTGGCAGAGGGAGAATTGGTTTTCTTTCGAGGTGTGACCCCCTGCGAGGTGGACCGTGCTCCAGGACAGGCTCTACACCCAAGAACATTGGAGAAAAAACAAATTAGACTTGATGGGCTTTTCTAAAAGAGAGGAAGCGAGGACAGGAAGCTGGGTGGGCAGGTAGGTGGGGATGGACTTGAAAGAAGCCAGGGGAGAGGACATAAATATGATCAAAACAAGTTGTATGCCATTCTCAAAGAACTAATAGAAATATCTTTTTTTTTTTTTTTTTTAAATGCTGGGTATGGTGGCCTGTGCTTGCAATCCCCGTTTGGCGGAGGCAGGGACAGGAGGATCCCTGAAGCTTATTGGATGGCTAATTTGGTGAATTCGCCTACTTTGGTGAACCCCAGGGCCATGACGGAGCCTGTCTCCAATTAGGTGGATAGTGTTCCCTAGGATAACAGCTGAGGTGGTTCCTCTGGCCTTCACACTCACACACGTACGTGTGCTCTAGCACCCCCTACCCACAGGAACGTGCATGCACACATACACATGTATATAAAAAGTATTCAGCATAAGTACTCCATGCTTCCAGCTGCTGCGGTATTCTGTCCCTCAGCAAATACTGACCGTTTTTATTCTGGCCTGGAGCCATCAAGAAGACGGGATCCCTCCAACCTTAACACGTATTTAGAAACTTCTACACACTGGGTTCCTGAGACATACTGCTGCTCTGTGGCTTTCATGCAATGACTGTGTTCAAAGGGGCAAAGCCCTGGTTTTATGGGGAAAATATATATATATATATATATATATATATATATATATATATATATATATATCAGTAATTTTACTGAACCACTCAACGGGTTGTATTTCCTGTTTTTGTTCTCTTCAAATGCCAGAAGGCAGGCGCTCCAGAACTGTTAAAAGATCAAGAGATGTCCAGGCACAAAGGCGCCCCGTGGGATAAGAGAACAGCTTAGCGGCTTGGGGGTATAAAACAGCGCCGCACAATTACGAACGCTACCTGGATGCTTAGGAGCAAAGGCAGAGCGATTTGGCCACTTTTTAATAATTCAAGGTGCCTTCCCTTCTCCCACTGTGGTGACCAAGCTAATGAGGCTAATGAATCGCTGCCCCGCAACGATCTGAAACCCTCATAAACTTCTCACACCTGCGGTTTTGCAAACAAACCCGACATCTGCTTCTAAAAGAAAGAAAGGAAAAAAAAATACACGTGCACACCGAGGTGAAAGGACTTAAGTGGGAAAAATGAAGTGTGCGTGTACACACACACACACACACACACACACACACACACACACACACGCACGCGCGTGCGCATGATGTCAGGGCGTCACTTTGTCAACAGAGAAAACCTGTTCCTCTTTTTAAAATCTCACCTTGACCCAAGTGGTATCTGCCTTTTCCCTCTAATTTTATTATTTTTTATGGATGTGCATGTGTGCATGCATGTGTTCATGCCTGTACAGGGAGAGGTCGGGAGTCGATACCAGCTGTTTCCCTGGGTTGCCCTCCCTCATGTTTTTATGAGACAAAGTCTCTCAGTGAACACGGAGCTTGCCAATGGCCTAGACTGGCTGGCCAGCAAGGTTTGGGGATCGTGTCTCTCCACTGATGGGATTACAGCTGGGCACTGCCAAGCTCAGCTTTTTGCCCGAGGTCTGTGTGGCCAGAACTTTCCCAAGAGGGATGTCTCCCCAGCTTCTAAGTTTTGTTCTTTTAGATTTGGTGGTGCTAGAAAGGGATGTTGAACTTAAGCACTCCCAGGGAAGGCATTCTCTTATCGCACGCTCAATAACTGATGTGCTGATGGCCTCAAAAGTCGGATTTTACTAGGCACTAAAACCGGCTAAAGGGAGGGAGATGCGGGATGCAGGCATTAAGTTAGAAATTTAACGATTTGAGTTTTATGGGAGGCTCCGCACAAGTGGCCGATGTAATTACCTGAGCTGATGGATTTTAATGAGTTGCAGTGAGCTTCTGTTATGCGTTTTACTAATCAGAAAAAGGTAAGGGGGAATTTGAAAATATACATTGGATGCTGAGAAGCATGCTATGCGTTCATTCTTTGCTTTTTTTTTTTAAAGAGGGGGGAATGATCAATAAAAAGTTTATATAAAATTATCTTTAGCTAAAAAAATATCATATCCCATGGCAGATTATGGAATGACCATATTCAAGACTTTCCAGAGTCAGGGTGTTTTGCTCCTCTCCGTGAAGTGGTAAAGCCCTGCGGATGCCATCTGAACGGAATCTAAATATCCATATCTCTGGAGCAGGATGTCCGTGTCCACAGGGTGAAACATCTCAGGCCCTTGAATCTCCAGAACACAATCCCTCACTCCTTCACCCCTGCAGATGGGCAGCGAACGCCCTGGGAGAACACAAACCCTCTCTCCTTCACCCCTGCAGATGGGCAGCGAACGCCCTGGGAGGCTCTTGGTCACAGCAGCACTGGGAAGATGACTGCAAAGAACCAAGACCCTTCTCCTCCTCTTGGCACCCACAACGGCTTTGATGCCCTGGATCTAAAAAAGACCATCTTCAAGTCTCGAGGTAGCAAGCCACATCACAGATCCATTGGAAATGGCGGGCGGTAGCCACCCAGTCTCCGTGAAGGGGCCTCAATGCCTAATCATTCTACAGATTCAAGTTAGCTCCTGAAGGAATTCTTAATGATACATTGACAAATTTCTTATCACTCCTCTAGAAGAATGAGATTAAAAGTAGGAGTCGCTATCACTTTATTTCAAAATCAGCCACAGCTGGCGCTGTGCATGGAAATGCAAAGCATGGGGCACATCAGTGGAACCTCTTCCATTAGGGTGACCAAGAACAACCCGGGGTGGGCTGGAGAGATGGCTCAGAGGTTAAGAACAACCCCGGCTACAGCTCTTCTTTCCTACTACTACCAAAATAAATGTTGAAGTGGTCACGGTTGACAGCTTTCTGGAGTAGGACTTTAATTTTGAAACATAAAAGAAACAGGGAAAATTGCAAAGAAAAATAAGTTTGGCAATCTGAATTTTATTCTCTCCTCAATTAAATAAACAAACAGTAGCTTGACAAAAGCATAGTGGATGTCAGAAAAACTATTCGGTGGGTATGTGTCACAAGTTTTGCAAACTAATAAGAACACTATTATCTCAATATTAAGAAAAATAAGGGGGGCGCACTGATATTTCATGTAGTCTACTAAATTCAGGAATGGTGTTCTATCGATCTTAGTAAGAAATTTTAAAAATCAAACAGTGTGAAAAGGCCGCTTTTCACTTTTTAAATTTGGCGAAGTAGCTAATGTAATTAGTAACTTGTGCTGATGAGATTATGGTGAGCTAAGCACATTCCCACACTACAGCCAGGGTACAAATAGATAGAACCTGTAGGAAAGTACTATTGGCATTTGAGCAGTTTCATGGGTTTTTTTAAGTTAATAGTTCATATTATAGTCTTTACCACAAAAATATCACTTCCAACCGTCTATTATAATCATAAAGCAAGCACCAAGAATTTAGCATACATATTAATCCAGCAATGACCTTCTGCATATTGGCTGTTTGCTGAGCCTGGCATTGGGAGTCATGGTAAATAAGACACATGGGGCCCTTCCCCTATAGCAGCGAGCATCTTTTCAGTTTCAAAGGATATTTATCATGATATTTATAGCATAAAAACTCTAAAAAATTCTCATTAACAAAAACTGAGGGGATGGAGAAACAAATTATGGCATATCCATAAAATAGAATGTTATGAACATTTCATGTCTTACAAGGGTAAGAACAACTTTTGGAAAGACCTGTCAATGGCAAGCTTGTCATGAAGTATCCAATGTAAGAACATAGATCCTTGAAAAAAGGACTAGAAGGAGCCGGGCGGTGGTGGTGCACGCCTTTAATCCCAGCACTCGGGAGGCAGAGCCAGGTGGATCTCTGTGAGTTCGAGGCCAGCCTGGACTACCAAGTGAGTTCCA